TATCTTTTTTTCTACCTCTCTCTTACTCATTTTGGTTGTGTCAAAGGAAGACGATTTAATGTAAAAAGTGTATATATGTATATTTTTTCTCATTAACGTGAGACTAACTAAAAAATAAATAATACTTAATAGATTAATTTAACTGAAAGGTTTGGTAAACTTGGTTTCTTTCCAAACTGAAATAAGTAGGACAATTTTTTGAATATTCTGTTTAACAACCTTTCTTTGGAAAAACTGTGTGTTTAAAATATTTAAGCATTTTAGCCGGCTTTATCATTTACTTACTTTTTGCTGAACAGTCAAAATACTTCACTATGCTGTTAATACATTTTTATGGCATCTCTAACATATAAAAATTTTAGACAAAGAATTAGTGGAATGCAAAGAGCACTGGAAATCGCTGCTTGATCAGCTTGATTCCGCTATTGAACAAAAAAAGAAAAAGCATAAAAAACGATTTTCGCCAATTTCCCCCACACTTCCGGATCGAGATTCTGCCTTTGTACTTGACCGCTTAAATTCAATTCAGGTCACTGAAGAAGAAGAACTTGTTCGTGATTCAAGAGTACCAAATCCCGCGCAGCGTAAATACAAAGGTCCATTTAATCCTAAAGTAAGTGGCTTTTTCTTCATTATATCTTCAAATACTAGTCTTTAGAAGCAAAAGTTCAAAAATAGGGCATATTTTGAAAGTTTCCAAAAAAAAAAATTCACAATGGTTTGTTGCAGAAGAACAATACGGCAGAAGAGTGTAAACGATTATCACAGCAAGAGTTAGTGTTAGAACTGAAACAAAAAGGAACATATAATCCAGATTTGATGGCTTGGGACGCATCTGGTGTTATCAGGTTTTTAGATCGTTCTATAGTGGACCAGTATGAGGTATGATTACTAGATACTACGCTGCTTATTTCCTTTCAATCGAATTCAGTACACATTCAAATATGATATAAGCGGATCATTTTTCGACTTTAAATTACAAGAAAATTATTCTTTGTTTTTTTTTTTTTCTCGCGTAATCTGATACGTACAGTTATGAACAGTGGTATGAAAAAATCATTTTGTAGCGTCAAGTTAGAAGACGACCAAATACCGAAGAAAATGCAGAACGAAATGTTGAAGCTTTAGAGCGAATATTGGCTGAGCTGCACTTGCAGTGTGACGTTCGTGAACCGGCTGTTTTATCCAGACTTCGTAATTTAACAGTGTAATGACGGGATTTTTCCTTGCACAAATATTTTATTAAAGAACGAACAAGAAAGTGAAATTTATTTTGAAAATTATTGTTATATCCATTTTCACAATTCTCAACTGTAACCCCGAAGCCTTACTGGCAATAAATGCAGACAAATTTTTAAAACTTTTCTTAGTATCTTACAAAGTTTTTATCTATTTTCACCTTCTCATTATCGTCATCTTCTCAACGGGTATTAAATAATTCTGAAAAAACTTTTAGTTGCGATTGCTGATAATAGGAATTTTGATAATATTTCTTAACGTTTACAGTTCACCGCCAAATAAGACAATCGTATCACCATCAATTCGAATGACTGAATCTGAAATGCGTTCAAAACGAGAAGCAGTCCGGGATATCGTTGACTCGCTGCAGCAGTCGAAACAAGAAGACACTACACAGTTACCAGGAACCACAACAACTCAACAACGTCAAAAAATAATTGGTATTTTAAATGTTTCGCTCTTCTAAAAGTTACGCTTTTAAGGAACCACCTACCTGATATGAAATTAACGCATAAAACACAAGTGTAACTACTATTTAACGAGTTATAGAAATTTACCAGATGCTCAGCAGCGCATACATGACATGGCAACAAAAAGTTCTTTCTTGAGCATTTAAACAAAGATACAAATATTTTTGACTGGTACACTTATGATGAGTTTTAACAATTTCTAGGTGATGTTCATGTTGTACCGTTTGGATGCGATAAACGTGCAAGTGTTGAAAATGGTTATCTACGACTTTGTAGTGCTTGTCAGGCAATCCGAAAACTTCCGGAAACTTTCTTCCCACCTTTTATCAACGAGGTGATGTGCGATGATGATAAAGCGTGTATTTATTTCTATAATTCTCGTAAGTTTTCTTCTTTTGTATCAATTTAAAACTTGCGCATCAGTTATGGCTGGAAAAAAATTGTTTGGTACAAAACTGTTACAAAGCAGTTGCAAAATTGTAGTAAACATTTTGATTGAAACTGATTATTTGCTTGATCTTAGGCAGATTTTACATAGCAGGATAACAAAATATTAACTGCATATTCATGGTTTCTATTTTTTTGTAATTGTTGGGTAGTCAATGTTTGCTGTGCTGTACCCACAAACACATTGCAGCTGAAATCAGTTAGCGAGCAATTAGTAATGACAGCAATTTGAAAAAATAATAAAACTTTCTTTTTTGTTGTAGAATTTTTAAAAAAACAAAAAAAAATTTGAGAAAAAGTTTTTTTTACTAATGAAACTGTTTAATCACTTCCTTCTTTACACCTAGTTAGCTTATTTTCCTTTCGTCTTTCGTCTTCTCCTTTATTTCGTTGCTACCTTTTTCAGCACATGGAAAATGTAAACAAAAACATATGAACTTTGTTGTGTTAAAGAATGTTGGCTCTAACGAGTGCCAAATATGGCAAAAATTTAATCTCAACGTTCGGGTATCTTGCGAATGCTTCATTGGTGAGTTTCAGTCATTTTCTCGCTCTTCTAAATAAAACCGAACAGCAACAGCAATCGGCAGTAACAAAAAAAAAAGATAAACTTTTTGATTCTAGAAAAAAAAAAGAATTTTTTGCACTTACTCTATTTATTGTCTAAACTGATTTAAGTTTTTTTTGTGCTTAAACAACTTTTCTTATAATTCTCTGCTTTCTATCTAAGTTTGCAACTAAATATAATATTGAAAAGACACTATTACTCTTAGTCAAGTTGAAAAAATCATAAACTTTATTAAAGAACAAGATGAGTGAAAAAAAAAGCATTAGCAGTTTTTGCAATTTTTTATTCATTTATTTGAACCTGAAAAAAATAAAAAAAAGGCGATAATGACAAGAAGAAAAAAAGATTTCAAACATTGAAATTTTTGTCTAATATTTTGCTGACCGTTATTTCGTGCTGCCGTCAGTTTGCTGCTGTTGTTTTGCCAAATAAACTATGGATACATCGTCATCCCCTTCAATACAGTAACGGCGACAACCACGAAGATGATTGCAATAATGATGATGACGATGACGATGACGATGACAATAATGATGACGTTGAGAAAGGAAAAGAAGGTGGTGGAGAAGAAGGAGGAGGTGGGAGAGGTGGAGGAGAGAAAGGAGGAGAGAAAGTAGAAAGCGGAGGAGGATGACGATGCATCTGTATTATTATTTACCAACAGAAAAGCTTTTTAGTACCGTTGTAAAACACTTTAATTATTTTTAAAGTTTTTATTTTTTCTGTTTTATCATTCACTTTCTTTA